GTTTTTGTTTGTTTGTTTTGGGGGGGGGGGGGTTTCCACATAATTTAGGCTGCATTTTATAAAATTTAAAATTGGTTACAGGAATAATCTATAGGTGAAATGTTTTGTTTGCATTGTAATTTTAATCAGTCATGGTTTTGTTGCAGATAATCTGTGCTGCTTGGTTGAACTTTCTGGGGTCTGTTATCCGCAACCTGACAGCTTACAGCTTCATGCCACACTCAGCTCAGTTTCCTGTGCTGATATTTGGTCAAGTTGTTGCGGCGTGCGGCCAAACTTTTGTCATGTTCACCCCCGCCAAAACTGCCGCTCTGTGGTTTCCCGACAGCCAGAGGACTATAGCCAATACCCTTGCCAGCATGTGTGAGTTCAATGGCCTCTATATTTATGTGATTGAGAAGAGTTTAAGCTGTTGATTCGTTTGGTAATACAGTTACATTTTTTTCAATGTTGTGATTTGTCATCAGTTCTAAATGATTCAATGAAAAATTTCTTAACACACTTAACAATTCTTGAAACAGCTTCTTTCTATATATGTCTTTAATGTCCCTGGGATCACTGAAATAAAAATGTATTACTGACAGAATGGAATAAAAGGCATTCAAATAGGAATGAATGAGTATGTTGATCTGGAGGTTCAGTACAAAAAAACAGAACTAATAGCAACGAATCTAAAGGTAATTCTTTGATAAGCGTGCTCACCACATGAGGTTGACTGGGTTACTGTTGCTGGAGTGTGACATTATTTTTCTTTTAAAGATTTGTTTTTATTTTGAATGGGCCAATACTATTTTTTTTCCCCTTGAAATGAACTTACATCTACATCTTTAAAAAATGAAAAGAAAAAGCTATAGATGGTGAAAGATCACGTCAGTTTACTAGCTGCTTGCACTGTGATTGATTAATTGCATGTTTTAATACAACTTTTTCACATTTATGAATCAAAACTGTGACAAAATTACTGTTTTTGTTTTTATTTAATTCTTCAAATGCCATGAATCAAAACTGACCAAATCAATTTTATAAATTTATAATTTTAATTAATTTTTCCACTGCTATGAGAGTCAAAACTGTGACAATATTAAACGTGTTATTGATTCTTCCACAGCCAACCCTCTGGGTATTCTCGCTGCCAATGTTCTGTCTCCTGCCTTAATCAAGAAGTCTGATGATCTACCTGTCATGGTAATTGTTGAAATGTTTGTGATTAT